TACGACAAAGTGGTGGAACAACATCATCTGAGAAAAGTCTACTTCAGGAATCCTATGCAATTAAACAAATTAATATGTTAAACAACACACAGTATAGACTAGAATCTATATTGTTTTATAACACTATAATTTTAAAAGTTGTTAATACAACTCTGGACTGTTATTTATTTAAAATATTTGTATTCTGCTTGCACTAAGCTCCCAAAGTGGCTTAGGATTAACAATAAATATTTTTTTAAATTACATAATAGATAAATAGTTAACTATTTCAACCCAGCAGAGTGAGCTTATAGTGCTTTGGCCAATGGCAGAGGCCAAACTATATGGCTCTGCAGTCCCAGGGCAGCTGAGCAGCAAGTTGAGCAGCAGTGTTCTTTCTGGCAGGGAGGGGGGAAGCAAGCTCCCTGCCGCTGCTCCTTCTCCTTTTGATGGTTGAGGCCAGACTAGAATAGGCTAAAATAAAAATCTTTTCCCCCTTTTGTTGCAGGAACTTGGTAGCTCAAATGAAACAGCAGATATGAAAAAAATGGAAGATGAAAAAATGTTGAGCTGCCAGGTCTGGGCGAAGAAGAAGCAGGATCCTTGCTTTCAGGATCACTGACACCAGATATACAATCCACCATGAGTAGCTGTTCAAGACAGTCAAACCTTTTATCAAGCTTCGTGGACAAAATGTCAAAAGAAGATCAAGAAAAAGCAGATGAGACATTAGCTCGAGCTATAGTTGCAAGTGATACACCTCTCTCCATAACTGATAAACAATACTTTTTGTTATCACTTATCATATTCTGTCTTCGATAGAGAGTATGACAGAGTTCAAGCAATGGTTATTCAAAGGATTGGTCAAGCAGAATCACTGATTCCGATGTTGGATGGATGGACTGATATACAAGGAAATCCTTTATTACGCATTATGAGCCAATATTTCTGAAAGCAATTGCCACCAAACCTTCTCGTCATACAGGTGAACACACAGCCAAATTACTGAGTGAAGAGACTGAAAGTGCAGGTCCCTCCAGGGTACAAGCCCTTGTAACTGATAATGTGAGTAACATGAAAGCTGCATGGCAGATATTCAAGGCAATGTATCCTCATTTAATAGTATTTGGCTGTCTTGCTCATGGGTTGAATCTTCCGGAAAAGGACATAGTAAGTGTAAATACAATGAAAACAATATTGGCAAACTGCAAAGTGATTGTGAAGATACTCAACAATCATCACGTTGCTAATCAGACTCTGAAGAAATTACAGAAAGAGAAGCAGGGGAAGGAAAGTGAACTTTTATTGCCAGGGGAAACTAGATGGGGCTCAGCAACAAAGTGTTTACATAGTTTGCTGCACACAAATAACTGTTTGCAGTGTGCTTCAATAGATGACACAGCATCCCCAATTATTCCCGTGAACATTTGGAAGCAGATTCTCGACAATGATGTGTTCTGGGTTCAAGTTCAAGGAGCATCCAATTTGCTACTACCAGTTTCAGTGGCTATCAAGAAACTTGACGGAGATACACCAAGCCTTTCAAATGTTCCAGAGCTATTCAGACAACTGAATGAAAATCTAATTGAGCTTCTGCCTTCTTCACCTCTATCCAAAAAAGTAGTAGTAAAACAATTGTTTATTAAGAGATCTGAGTTTTGCTCTCATCCAGTTCATCTGGCAGCAAACCCTTCTGGATCCTCAACACAGAGGACAACATTTATCAGAAGGTGAATTATCTACTGCTCTTGATACAATTATGGAAGTAGCTAAGAAAGTCCCCAACATCCATGAAACAGCCATGATCGCAGACATTGCTGAGTACCGCGCAAAAGAAAAACTTCAAAGCAAAGACATAATTTGGTGGACAGCAGAGAATATGTCTCCTTTCACATGTTGGAAGGGACACTGTAATACCCGACTGTTGTCCAGGATTGCTCTAAGAATCCTAAGCATTCCCTGGAAGGCTTTCAGCTCAATCAAGACAAAAAAGAAGAATAGACTAACAAATGAATGTACTGCTAAGCTTGTTTCTGTTTCTCAAAATTGCTTGCTTCTGGAGAATCAGTCAGAAGCACAATTAGTGAAGAAGATGCTGTGCGATGATAAGCTGCCCTTGCCCACAGACTCATTCGTAAAACCATCCCTTAGTGAAAGAGAACATGGTTCAAGTAGTTCTGAATCAGATTTGCCTCAATCTGATTCTGAAATGAAACTAATAAGTAGTGCAAGTGATTCCTGGAGGTGCCACAATGACCTCAGTGGAAGAGAGTTAAACTCTGTTGAAGTAGATGAGTAGATGACCACAACATATCACGCACAGTTCTTTGGGTGTGCTAAAATGAGTGTATCAACAGTTTTCAGTGCCTTCGGTTTTTTTCTTACATTTAAACAAATAATGTAAGGGAAGTACATGCTATTATGTACTTCCCTTACATTATGTACTGTCTTTACATTTTTACAAGTATTCCAATAAAAATAATTTGTTTCCACATAAAGCTTTTAATTTGTTTGACTATAACATTTAAACTACATTAAGTGTGCTGTATTTAATTTTTTTTCTAATCAAATATTTCAGTTCAAATACTTGTGGCTACTGGAACAAAATTAACATGGGGTACTTTGTTAGTTTTGTTTACTAAATACAAGTCAAACAAACATGCTAAATCAGATCACGCTCTATTTAGGGCATTGGAAAATTTTCCAATTCAAAATTTTCCAGAAAACCCACATTTCTGGTCACGGACATAGGATTGTTTAATATCTTTGTTATGATTGGGCAGATGGGAGATTTGCAAATTTGCAGAGGACATCAAGTTAGACAGAACTGCAGACACTCTGAAGGGAAGGATTAGGATTTAGAATGACTAATTAACTGGAGAAGCGATATGACATTAATCAAATAAAATCCAATACGGAAAAAAGTAAAAAGTTCTATACTTAAGACCACATGTACAAATACAGACTAGGAAATGCCTAGCTGAGAGTTCAGCAATGTTTCTTGGCAGAGCGCCAAAAATACCCACAACACTGACTGGTAAGATGTTGGCATGCCAGGTCAGACAATGGATGGACCCAATCGTTGTTGTGATAGTACAGCTCTGGCCCCTTCTGAGACACACATACTAAGCAAAATGCCTTCACATGTCATGCTCTGGCACTCATGCTGGGGGGTTACCTACCCCTGCCCTAGCTAGTCTGCTGTAATGCAGAAAAGGACCTGGGGGTTATAGTGAACTGTAAGCTGAATATGAGTCAACAGTGTGTACCAGTTGGAAAAAAGGGAAATAATATACTGGGCTGTATTAATAGGAGCATCATTTGCAAGTCAAGCAAAGTGATTTTTCCACTTGATTCAGCACTCATGAGGCCTCAGTTGGAGCATCATGTCTAGTTTTGGACATCAAATTTCAGAAAAGATATTGGCAAATTAAAAAGAGCTCAACAGAAAGCAACAAAAATGATTACAAGTCAAGGAAACATGTTTTAGAAGGAAACACTGGAAGAGTGGTGATTATTCAGTCTGAAAAAGAGAAACCTGAGGGAGGATTTAATAAATAGTCTTCAGTTACTGAAAGGTGATTATAAAGAGGGTGGCAATAAACTATTCTCTGTGGTCACAGGGGATAGGACAAGGAGAAGTGGTCTTAAATTACAGCAAGGGAAATTCAGTTAATTATTAAGAAGAACTCTTACTGTGTGGGTGGTTAAGCACTGGAACAGGCTACCTACAGAGGCTGTGGAATTTCCATCCTTGGATATTTTTAATAGCAGGTTACATACACACTTATATAGCTGGGTTTAGACATAGCATAGTTTAGACAGGGATGATCCTGCCTTGAAAAGGGGCTTGGAACAGATCCTAAGCTCCCTTCCAGCCCTAGTTTTGTATGATATCAGCAGTCTCTTAAAGAATGGGGGTGGGTTGAAATATCAGGTTGTTGATAATTAAAAAGCTGTGAGAAATATACAAGTTTGGCTAGAAACATATTAGGCTAATGAAACAAATAAGAGCGTGAGACCAGCCTGTAAAAAGAGCACTGGAAATGGCACTTTATTTCAAAAGAAACTGGGACATGCAGGACAACCAGAAAATAGTTTATTATCTGTTTTGGCAATGAGATGAAGCAAGCTCAGTTGCCAAAACTGAATTACCTGCTTCATTTCTCCATCCCCCAAGCTCTTTCTTTTGCTCAGGAAAGTGCATAAGGCAGGTTAACTGCACCTTAGGTCTAACAGTGGTGCAAATAACACTGCAAAAATAATAGAAGACTTGGGCCCTGCTTCAAAGTTTATGAGCAAGACTGGCAGTCTCTACATTTTAAGATCTAGTGGACAATGTGTATAGAGACTGCTGACACAGTGCACTGAACCATCACAGCATGGACAACAGCTATACAAAGAAGGGAAAGTTAGCACTGCTTTTGCCCTTGACTGGTTCCAGTACAGGAAGTCAATCAAGAAGTTCAGGCTGGCAAAGGTAAGTCTGTGAAGAGCAGAGAATGTCGCATGCTGTGCCTAGCTGGCAACAGGATTTCCAAACATGACTTACAGCAGTGGCACTGGCAGGTCTGCACAGGCAAAAAATGCAGGGAAAGTCCATATTTTACAGTGTATTACTTCTGTTCTTATTTTTTGTTAATGATATAATTAACCTGTTTTAACCTTTGATGCCTGTCTGATTCACCTAGCTGACAAGAGGCAATGAATTATACACATTAGTACATTTTTCATATACAAAGGTTAGTTGGAATGCCAACTGGACACTCGGGCATTCCAGAGTCCAGCAAGATGTAAGCATTTATAACTGTAGTTACCCCCACCTCCAAACTTACATCCAATTCAAAAAACAGGTCTCTCTCTTTACTTGCAATCTCATAATCTGCTCTCAGTGCCAAATCATGGATCTTTGTACATTCTCCCAGGTCCATGCGCTGTTGGAAAGCAAAAAGAAAATTAACATTAAAACTTTCTATCACTGCAAGAAGCAGAGGATATTTAACTGCTGACATCGATGTATATATTCCTTTCATGCATCACATCATCCTTAAAGGCACTTTAGGGATTGATCTTCCCTCTTGGTCAACTAATAAGAAAAGTAACCAAAAGGTCTTCCATGTGTTCTTGTAGTGATCTATTTTGGTTAACTGTCAACAAAACATAATAGCTCTACAGTCAAAGGAAAGCAGGATGAAGCAGTTACCCAATCTTAATCCTAAAACTGCACAATGACAGGAAAATGGGTCTCACCAGGAAGAACACTGAGAAAGGGTCAAAATGAACCTGTCAGAATTAAGGTGCTGCTTCCTGGTGAAGTGTAAATTAGAGGAAAAGGATATGGCCAGGGGAGCAATGTGTCTAAGTCTTGCAAAATTAACCCCTTTACAGGACTGACCCATCCTAATGCAGCAGGGCTTTTAAAATTCCATTGGCCCAAAACAAAGGACTCTTTTGCACAAGACCATACAAATCAAACTGACAAAAAAACCCAATGGAAGAAGACAGGATCCTTTCTGTGAGAGTCTTCCAACCACGCCCAAAAGAGCAAATTTGTAGCAGATGGTGTTAAAAAAGGTTCTCGATCTGTAGGTCAGCAACCAAAAGTAATATTTTAAGCATTTAGTTAAAATGCCCAATAGATTACTTATTTCATTTATCAGCAAAGCCAGCATTCATTTTGTTTTCAAACAGACAAAGCATGCTTAGCGTCCTGAAAGTCATAATGCCAAAAGGCCTAACTATACACAAGAGCACACGGGGTTAGACTGCAGCTCTGTGTATATATCTATCTTTATACTCTACATCACGAAGAAGCACACATGTGCCTTACCCTACAGAAGCAGACTGCACATGCAATACTGTATTCCCTTCCAGGCTCCTCAGAGCAAGAGCTAAGAGACAGATAATGAACAGGGAGTGAGAAAGATTAACATTAAGACTACTGGCTTAACCAGTTCTAGCCACACAACTTGATCTTGAAGAGCTGCTGACTGTTCAGCCTCCTATTTTGCTCTACAGGTAGGGCCTGACTTAAATTGCAATTTCACATTTTTCATGAAAATCATTAAATTAAGTGATTTTCATGTAAAATGTGACTTGCTACAAAATGCCATGATATGACCACCTGCTGGGGAGTTCCCCAGCAAGGCATTTCATTGCAACAAGATGGTTGCTACAGGCTGAGGAAAGCATTCCCCAGCCCATAGTTTCTCAACCTGTGGTACATGTACCCCTGGGAGTATGAGACACAGGCAGGGGGTACACACATACCCCAACATTCTCTCTCTCTCGCCCTCTTTTCCTCGCTCTCTTGCCCCTTCCTCCTCTTAAAACTACAGCAAAAAATTTGGTGAAACTTAAAAAATTAAATTCCCCAGTAATAATTTGCTGTGCCGCACTTTGCGTGGCACTGGGTTCAGCCCTCCTAGCTTTAGCCAACATCACCTCTAGCCCAGGTACATACTTGAGTTGTGCACTGCTGGTGTAAAAGGTGGCAACCCTACCCGCACCAGATCAGACATCTGTCATATCATGGCCTTATATACACAGCCGTTCTTCCAACATATGGCACACATTAGTCTGTAAATATAAAATCCCCATGAAAATTGAGTGTTGGGATACTTATCAAAATTTTCAGAAGTTATGGGGTACTTGCTACTTAAAAGGTTAAGAAACACTGCCCTAGCCAGCAGCAAAAGCCTAGCAGCCCAGGGGTTGCAAAAGGGACAGGGGAAGGAGAGAGCTTGGAGAGGGGTAGGGGAGAGGCTTTTTGCTCCTTCAGTCTGGAAAACTGGGGCGCAGGGTGCTGGGAGCACCTGGGGACTGCCTTGGCAGATGGCCCTGACACCAGGTATGGGAGGGGCTGTTTGCTCCTCCAGACAGAAAAACTGGGATGCTAGGGTTTGAGAACAGGGAGCACAGAGGACCAAACAGCCCCTCACCTACCCAGTGCCACGGCCATCTGCCAAGGCAGCCCCCAGGTACGCCTGACCCCCTCCACACATTTTCCTGCCCAGAGGTGGAAAAAGCCCCTCCCTTTCCCCTGTCCCTTTTATGACCCTTTCCCCCCTCCCCTGGGATACTAGGCTTTCGCTGCTGGCTGGGGAATGCTTTCCCCACTGTAGCAGCCATCAGAACAAAAAGCACCCCCCGGGCATGAAAATTAGGGGTGCACCAATAGAGATTTTTGGAGCCAATACCGATGGCCAATTTTTAAGGAGCCATATTGGCCGATACCGATACGCTATGCAGCCAGGCAGGTTGCAGACCAGCGTTGGGGGAAAAAGGTGGGGGGGGGGGCCCATAAGGGGAGGGAGCAGGGCAGAGGCAGGCACTGCTCAGCCAGGGCAGGTCATGGGATGGTGCCACAAGCAGCTCATCCAGGGAGTGTGTGGGGGTGGCTCCCGCCCTGCACACACTCTGGGAGGGCATGGGGGCACATGCCCCCAGATCTGTGTGGGGCAGGGTGGGGCAAGCTGCTGCTGCGGGTTGGGGCCAGGGCTGTGCTGAGCTCTTTCTGGTTGCAGGGCTGAAGCGGGTTGCACTCAGGTAGGGTGGCGGCACTGGGAGGGGGCTACAAAAGGGGGGCTGCAGCCACCCCAAAACTCGCCATAGCATCCTCCTAGCCTCCTCCCAGCACTGCTTCTGCCCACCCCGAGTGCAACCCAGCCCATCCCCACCCCCTGGGAAGAGTCCAGTGCAGCCCCTAGCCCCAGCCTGCAGCAACAGCCCACCCTACCCCGCGCACAGATCCAGGGGCACTTGTCCCCCCATGCCCTCAGGTGCACCTCTCCCCACACACCGGATGAGCCATTTGCAGCTCCGCCCCACACCCTGCCCTGCCCCAGCTGAACAATGCCTGGCCCAGCCCCACTCCCTCCCTCACTGCGGGGGGGGCCTCGATCTGCACCCCGACTCCCGACTTACCAACCTGACACTGGTCTCCAAGCCACTGGGCTATGCTCCAGCTGTGCACATGCACAGGGCTTTTACTGGCCACATTATCAGCCACAGCAGGCAAAAAAAGCCGATTTTTAATACAGTCAACATTCCCTATGTTGGTGCTGATCCAATATGGGACCAATGTATAGGTGCACCTCTAATGAAAATGGTGGCCCCTGCCACTATTGGCCCATGATATTAGCAAGCGGCACCCACAATTTAAACCAGAACAACTCCTTATTGCATACAAACGAGGCAATAATTTCCACCTTCTTTATCTGCTTCTTATTTCTTCTCTTTTCATTACACCATGTTATACACTATCTTGCAAAGCACTCATATACCGATTCACATTATTATTCAAATTATCCACATCCCAAAACAGCTTCGTGGTAAGTGGACCATGCCACAAGTCCTGCTTTAAAACTGCTGACTTAAAATAGAGGTGCACCAATACATCGGTCCATATCATATTGCACTGATAAAAGGAAAACTGACATTATCGGCAATTGACTTTTTTTGGCCAACGTGACTGATCATGTCGCTGAAAAAATGCCACATGCATGCGTGTAACTGCAGCATGCACCCAGCCAGGAGTCCAGCCTGTAAGTGTGTGGGAGGCAGGAGCACAGGGGAGGGAGAGACCCCCGCAATGAGGGAGGGAGGGAATGGGGCTGGGGCAGGGGTACTGTATAGTCGGGGCACAGGATGGAGCCTTGAGCGGCTCCTCCGAGACTACGGGGGGGCGGGGCAGGGAGGGGCTGGGGCAACTGCTATCTCTGGGCAGGCCCCAGGGGAGACATGGAGAGCACGTGCCCCCTGGATCTGTGGAAGGCTGCCTGCTGCACACTATGGGCCGGGGGCACTAGGATCTGGCCCACAGCCCATATTTTGCCCTCCCCTGCGTTAGTATGATCTTTGGTTAGCAAGACTGAAACTATTCTGACTTGTCACCACTGAGCTATCTATTCATCTACACCTCCCTCAGCTTGAACAGAGAAATATGTGCTGCTAATCATGAGCATTAGACATAAGCACCACTCCCAGAAGCAAGTTCTGGGTGGAAATGAAATATAAATCTTTAGAAATAGCTCTGAAAGTTTTGCAAGATCAGACCCAGCCAACTCTCTTCCTTGGATTTAGAGAAGCTTCCAATCCAGTCATTTTATTGCAGTTACAACTTTCAGCAATTCCAGAACTAGATACGCACTTTCAGTCACTTCATTATGTGGGGCCACTGTATACTCAAATTCCTTTCCAACACCAGCTGAGGAGGTGGAGGGACCTCTTCTGAAAATCACAGCCCAGGACTGTCATATTTCCAAAAGAAGTTCAAGAACTTTTTCCAAACTGAAGTGGTACCATCACTTTGGAGAGACATGTTCGCAAGCTAAGCAAAGTAGTCCTCAACCTTGCCAGCTCCTCTTTCTCCACTCTTTGTAAGATGGCAATGTATCTCCAGGTTTCTCTCTTTGGACAAGCAAGCATCTGCAGAAAAGCCTTGGGTTCTAGTTCCCAATGACTTGCAATAAATTCTAGATATCTGGATATTTTTACCAGGACCTGGACCTCCACATGCAACACCAAAGCAAGATGACAGTTTGTATAAAAACAGCTCCCTGAAGGATGTTCCACTTATACAGTTTTCAGAATTGTTTCATCAGCTAATCTGGTAGCATCATTACCAGCAGGCACCCCATCCAGGAGTACTGCAGTTCCTCTGCTGGTAAAAATATGCCCATTGCTATCTGAGAACTAGGGGTGCACCGATAATGATTTTTTGGGCTGATACCAATGGCCAATTATTGGCCAGCCATATTGGCTGATACCAATCCGATCGCTGATATGCACTGGAGAGCAGCTTCCACCTGGTAAGTCAGTTGGGGGAAAGGGATTGGGAGGGCGGCGGGGTACAGACTGAGGCCCCCACAGTGAGGGAGAGAGTGAGGCTGGGATTGGGTAGGGCACCAGGCTTGTCCAAGGGGCATGGGGA